ATGAGCAACCTATGATAAAGTTACTTTGATAGTGATGAGACCATTGGGTGGCCAATAGTAATACAATAGCCATAATCTCTATGATTGCACACAAAACAAGCCAAGTGGGCATTGATGGCCATGGGCTATAATCACTCTCTCCTAATGTCCCTTCTTTCTTTTTAAATCCATCTCTCTCCTAAAAAGATGTAAAAAAGAAAAGATTGTAAACAAAATAACACAGCTACAAAAATCATACCAAAAAGCAATATCTAACATTTACTATAAGGTTACGACTTATGAAATATAGATTTGGTAATTTTGTTTACTTATTAGTTGGTGGGTTTCACACTACTAACTAATAAGGAGCATGTTTATCACAAATTAGTTACTAGTATGAACTCAATTATATTGGGTGGATGTCCATTCATCCCACTAATTTTCATCATTATGTCCACTAACAAATTTTTGGAGTCCTTGTGTTGATGGGGTTATCAAATAGAGAGATTTGGAGGAGGAAGACGAGGCATTGACGGGTGGCGTGTTTGGACTTTCTCTAGAACTCCTCGATCTTTATTTATTTTTTGAAGTGCTAAACCTTTTGTTTTGATGAAGGTATTTTTATCTATTTATGAAAAAGTTTAACACCATCTACCATTTGTTAAGTCAAAGGAGATGACTATTATTTTTTGAACCTCGGGCGCGTATTGGTAGTTTGGCCAAATTGCAAGGGAGGTAAATGTAATTAATTCAATACTTTATTTTGCATTATGCTATAAACAAATTTTTCTTTTGTTATTATCTAATAAAGGCACTCCGTGAAGTGCAAGGAAAAAAGGCGTAGTTAGTTTATTACTTCTATTGTTTACTTGACTCAGTTTATCTACAATTTGCAAATTAGAGACATACAGTTTTATGTTTGGGATAATTTCAGAAACCTTCAGCATCACTTGGTGCACTAACTTGGAAATATCTCATTTGCCTTCCTTACTTTAAACTTCTGTAGCAATTGAAATCCATTTCAAAAAATAATATTAATAAACTCATTTTGTGGGATAGAATATAATTTCATTCCAAATTTACCCTTTTATTGTCTTACTCTTTAGCTCGAAAACTATTTTTTGCCAACCTTTTATTTTATTAATATATAAAAATAAAGAAAGAAGGGGGACTTCACCAAAACCTCCAATACATAGTGATAAAAAATGATATATAAAAAAGGTATACTGCTCCCTAACATATATAATAATTTAAAAAACTTGAGTATATTAATAAAATTTATAAGCAAAATATAAAAGCATGAAGGTTTAATTCTATTGAGATAAAATATAGGGCATTTTTTAAATATAAAGAGTTAATAATTCAAAGTTTATTTGAATTTTTACAAGTTACAAGAGTATTATTTTCTTTATAGAGTGCATTGAGTTAATTTAAGGAGTTTTTTTAAAAATAAAATCATTATTATTATTTAGAGAACCAGACGAAATACAAAAGGAAGAAGACATGAACCAAAACATCTATCAATAATGACAAATCTTAAGACCTGAAAGTCATTTTTAACTACAGAGACACCGCCTACGAACAAAAGGAACACCTTGCAAGTCCATTCTTAATGCCACTCTTGTTGAAACCGACAATGCAGAGTGAGAGTCGAAAATACAGAAAGATGAAGCAGTTGCACCCACTTTAGACAGAGCATCCGCCACTTGATTTCCTTCCTGAAAACAATGTGTTACTTTGGAAACAAATCCCATGAATCCCTTAATCTGTTCCATCTCCTCCAAGATTGTCTAAGGGCAAACCGCTTTCTTCAGCAAAATTCGCACCAACAAAAGAGAGTCAACCTCTACATGCAGCCTATCAAACCTATAACTTAAACATTGTTGTAGTCCAACAAGTAAGGCTTTAGTTTCAGCCTGAACACTTGACATCTCCCCAAAAAGAGCCGCAAAAACAAAAACCATACCACCATTATCATCACAAAGGATCCCGCCACCCCCACTTGTTCCTGGGTTGCCCACAAAGCATCCATCCGTATTTATCTTAACCTCCCCCACCAACGGCTTCACCTAGGAAATCAACTGAAACGAGTACTGAGAGCTTAACAAATGAACCCCATCATGGAATTCCTGCCAAGAACGCATCTTCGACAACCTATTGGGGAACCTTAAATCGAAAATGGTCTTTAGTTCCTGAAAATCTAGATACAACTTCCTTGAAAATGTGACTCATACCCTTCAAACACCTTCCTATTCCTTGCCTTCCAAATTTGCCAACAAATCAGAGTTGGCAAAATCTCATAGACAAAAGCCAAAAACCCATTGGAGCTATGGCAAAACCACCAAGCCGCCAGCTTTGACCTCACTCCCCTTCCCAAATAGGTAATACCAACCACCAAACCAAAAAACTGCCACAATTGTAATGCAAAATCGCCTTCCGAGAACACATGATCCAGCGTCTCTGCTTGCAACTGAGCACAACAGAAACATTTTGATGGTCCTTGGACACCAAACTTCATGACGAAAGATGCAATTGGAAGTCGATTCTTCAAAAGGCGTAGCATGAAAAAAGAGATCTTGACAGGCAAATAGGAATGCCATATTTTCGAGAAAACAAAAGAGGATGAGGAAGCAGATCATAACTCTTGGAAACCTGCAACAAAAGAAAAACACCTGATTGGGATGTCTTCCAAATTATTCGATCGGACTGATATGATGAAGAGGGATCTTTCCTCAAAATTTTTGCTACTACTGGAGAAGGAACCCATTGCAACAAAAGCTGTTGATTCCACCGACCAGAAGACACAAAATCTTGCACCTGGTGATTCAATAGATTCTCTAGCCTTTGGCATAATGGCCCCGAGCCCAACCAATTCTTGAACCAGAAATTACTAACCCCAGATCCCAACAAGCTAATCATATTCTGCTCTACCTGCTTTTGAGTCGCTAACATTCTCCTCCAAATGTGCGAGTCTCCTTGGAACACATCTACCATACAAGGATACGCCTGGGGGCAATATTTTGCTGCCATAAACCTTGTCCAAAACGAGTCCCCCTGACGAAACTACCATCACAACTTCATCGAAAATGCAACATAAACATCTTCCATATCTCGAAAGCCCACTCCCCCTCAATCCTGAGGCAAGCATAATTCCTTCCACCTCATCCAATGGTATCTCAAACCTCCTTCATGCACCTCCCAGAGGAAATTGGCAAATAGCTTCTAAATCTTATTCAATGCCCCCTTAGGAGGACAAGATGCTGCCAACATATGTAGCGGTAACGAGGAAAGAACATGTTTAATGAGAATAACCCTTCCACCAAACGACAAGAATCTGTTACTCCACAAAGATATCTTATTAATCTCCACTTGGACCATCACCGAAAAATAAACCCCCTTCCGCCTACCCGGGAAGAGCGAACAACCCAAATATTGCACTGGAATGACTTATGAGTAAACCCCGTGACTTGCTGCACATGCCTTCTATGAATCACTGATGCTTTATCATGAATCAGGAAACAACTCTTCTATTTTTATTTTGTCCAAATCGATGGCTTGAAAACCAAAAAAAAAAAAAAAAGAAATGCTGAAAGTTATATATGAACTTGTTTGTGATGTTTTCAAGTTGATACAAAAAGTTATTTTCATCGTTACAAAATATTTCAAGTTATCTTTACAAATATTGTAAATTATTTATAATTTTAAATATCTTAATAGTTCTTGTCCAAACCAATGATATAAAAAAAAATTATTAAAGAGGTCTTTCCACCCTTTATCAACTTTAAAATTTCAATTAAAGAACCAAATTGACAATTTTACAAAAATTAAGAAATAAAATCAATGTATTATGGCAATTAAGCATCCACAAGAAAAGGGTAAATCTAGGATGAGATTATATTCTCTTATATTATGAAATTAATAAAGTGATAAGTGTGAATGTTAATTCATTTCCCCAAGATATCTATTGAAATATTCATTCCCCTACAAGGTTCATTGGTACATTGATAAATCTTCTTGTTGTTTGTTAGTTTATTATCGATCTACTTAATTCACGTACTTGAAATACTAAATTCATGTATCTATATTAATGTTGGTACATGTACTTTTGGCCTTGTATCACCTATTCATGATGCTTATGTATAACCTTGAGAACTCTGAATTATCTAGTTAACAAAAGCATAAATTTCTCTCTACTTGTCACCTAGTTTTATAATTTTTCTATATTATTCTAGTAGTTTATAATTCAGTATACAACGCCAACCAAATATAGATTAGCATTAGTTTTACAACATTTCTTCCAAAATGACCTTCTTTTAAGATTATAGTTTGACCTTTGAAGTGGATTGTAAAAGTATTAAAAAAAAACCCAAAGTAGAGGAGGCAAGTGAGATTTTATAAAGTTCTGAGGTGTCAAGTGATACTGTTAGAAATCTCATGGGAAGTTTCTGAAATTATTTCTTAGCCATCTCCTCCCTCGACTCTGATTCTGATTTTGATTTTTCTGGTTTCCAAATTTCACCACCACCCCTGTATATGATATGAAAGCCTCCTCGTCTTCTTTGCCCTTTTATTTTTCCTTCTCCTTCTCTTGAATCTCTGCAACCCACTTGCTGTTTAGTGAAGAAGAGGCCTTCAAAGAGAGAATTTTGAGTGCAATTTCTCATACATAGGATACGGGTAAGATTTTTTTTTTTTTTTTTTGTTTATACCATAGAAGTATCTGATGGTGAAAGCCTCCGTTCATATCTGATGAGTCAATATGGTTGACTCAGTAGACTCGGCCCGAATCTTCCGAATCTTAATGAGCTTCCACCGGATCTACCGTCTCCGTGATATCGCGGGACGGAAGCTGAAGTTCCGGTGACGACTTGGCTCTTTGAACCATGGTCTGCTATAGTATCAAGTTACTAGGTTCAGAAATTTGGGGAAATTCTTTTTCCACTTTCATATGCATCTGATTGGGTTTACGTCAAGTTTTAAGTGACTGGCTGTTTGATATAGCATCATAATCAGGCTATTCAATAGTCAATACTAGACTGGAGCTTTGTTCAATCTTATGCTCATGAAAATTTAATCCAGGCTTGAACATGCTGTGTAGACTGATTAGGCTTGTGGACACCCTAGAGTTATTATCACATGAATTTTGCTTGTGAGTTTCAAATGGCAAAGCTCTTTTTTTTTTTGGTGTTTAACCACTTAGGGAACAAATTCTCTCTTGCTTTACCTGTTTGGCTAGCAGATTATTGTTCAGCGCTAGCTTTAATGAGATAGTTTATGTTATCTGTTTTGTTTAACCTCTTAGGGAACAAATTCTTTCTTGCTTTTCCTGTTTGGCTAGCAGATTATTGTTGAGTGCTAGCTTTTATTGAGATAATTTATGTTAGTGACCTACCAAGATATGGCCGCACTTAGTTACTGATTAATCTGGATACTGTACAGCTTTGCTCAACCAGGAAGAAATGATTATTGTTGAGTGCTAGCTTTAATGAGACAATTTATGTTAGTGACCTGCCAAGTTATAGCCCCATTTAGTTACTCTGATTAATCTGGATACTGGACAGCTTGCTCAAGCAGGAAGAAATGAGTGCTTACCAGGCTTTTAAAGCATGTGTGCCAATTGAATGGAGTGATAAGCTGTATATAACCCTTGTTAGGGGTATGCCTGGAACCAGGGAGCTCCATAGGCGGACATTAGAGGCGCTGCACCTCCGCAAATGCAACCGCACGGTTGTGCGGAAAAATACTCCTACAGTTCGTGGAATGCTTCAGCAGGTTCTCAAATTAGCTTTTGCTTCAACCACATGTTTATTTTATATGGTCAAATTCCTATCGTTGTTTGGCAACTGACAGTTGTTGAATAAGATTGAAAAATAGAATTACATGGTATTTTTGGCATAACAGGTGAAAAGATTGGTTGCGATTGAGACGAAGGAAATGTACGAGGCTCGGAAACAAAGAGAGGCTAATCAGAGAGCTCTGCGTCCACCATTGGTTATCAGTCATCATCCTGCTCCAAAGACTGATTCCTCTCAGTAATCTTAAGAGATTCTTCAAGGCATGTTTGTTTTCATTTTTTCTGCTTTAATCTCTCTCTCTCTCTCTCTCTCTCTCAGTAATCTTAGGAGATTCTTCAAGGCATGCTTGTTTTCATTTTTTCTGCTTTAACCTCTCTCTCTCTCTCTCTCTCTCTCTCCATGTGAACTACTCAGACACAGAAGCACGCATTTGAAGGTTATGATCTCTGTTCTGTAGGTACCTAGCACAGTTATTGTCTGAAATTTCCCAAGGCACTGATTGTGATTCAGATCTTTTGATAAACAGAAGTTTCATTTGTAGCTGAGCTTGTGTTAAAGCTGTAATGTCCTGGAAGATGAATAGAATTTGAGTTGTTGCAGATTTGGATTCAGGGAGCGTAGATTGCGGAGACTTAGGCGGTTAATGCTTTTTCATCAGGGGGTTTTCCTTTTGGAATGAGATCATTAGTTAGTGGATTAATGGATTTTTGCACTCCTGTTTGTAGAAATACTTTCATGTTATATTTTAGTTCATTGCTTGATGTATCTTGCTTTGATGCATCAACATATAAACAAATCCCTGCCATGAACTTTAAAAGTTGTCTAGTTGCTAATGGTCCAGTAATCTTTGATAGCTTTCTGGTTACTTGGCCTTTCCATAAGCTGGTGAAAGGGCTTCTTAAGTTAATGCTTGATCAAATTTCTGAGATCGCTCCAATGCCTAGGGATTGTTGACCAGTGGTAAAAGATTACAGAATACCTACCATGAACTGAAGGACACCTTTTGTATTTGAGTAGATCTCGCTCAATACAAGGATATTGAAGGAACCCTTTGTATAGAAAAATTTTATTCATCTTCAAATGAAATTGGAGGAAAATACAAGGACATTGAACACCAAATTTGGGCACAAGGATTTATCACTCTCTTATTCTTTGCCATTTGGTTTCGTTCTGAGTCTACAAAAGAAAACCAGATTCTTTGACTCCTCTACCGTACATGATCTCTAGCTTGAAGCAGTTAATGGAGGATAAAAAACACGTGGCTACCATTCTGTTCTAATGCATGCAATTTAGCAGAAACTCCAAACAAGAGGTGCAGTATTATAAGTGCAGGCTTCTGTCTGCTTATAATTTTCCCTTCCATCTCTAAATTGGTCCCTATTATCTGGCACACCTGCTAATGCTCCCAGCAGAACATTAGGATTCGATTCCTGGCGTCCACACCAGCTATTGCAGCCTTGGATGCATCCTCTAAATCCCTTGCTATTCCTGTAAGACTCCATGGATGGTCCTCTGTGATGCACCCTCTGAGGGTATCTTGAACCGTAGCCAACCAAGTAGCTGGTGGCCATTGGACTAGAGCTTAAGACAGAATCAACCTGTGATCTTGCAGATCCACTAATACTCCATGGCAGTTGAGGTTTTGATTGGCAGCTCAGAGATGATCAGAGTAGGACATAAGCAAAAATGTTGCGGACGAAACGTATGTTCTACATGCTTCTCCTTCATTCCAAACTGATTAAAAGAAACGTGTTGATAAATTGTAGGGAAACCATTTTAATCAGGGAAAGGTATTTTCACTTTTGTTGAAGTCTTCTTATTTAGCTGTTGAATTTAGTGCTTCATAATTCATATCATAATCACCGTTAAGTGTCATTTATAACAAGATGGGGGAAATTTTCTTATTTTCCCTAAAAGATCATTGGTTCAAATTCTTTTTTGGCAGACAATCTTGACTACTTTTGTTTTTGAGTTTTTCGTCTTACTCGTGTGACTTATTCCATCGAATTCAATCATCTCAATTGAGGAACGATGTATGCGACAATTCTTTTTACGATCTTGTGTGAAATTGTTCCAATAGAGATGAACTAAATCTCTTTTTCTGGTCAAGAAACAACGGAGGTTTTGGTTTATCTAAAAATTGTGAGATCGAATTAATTTTATTTATTTATCTTATTTAATGGTATTTGCATATTCTCTGATTATAGTGTTTATGTTGTTTTATTAATTGAGTATCTGAGCCCGAACGTTGAATTAATTTAGCAACCTAATGTCAATTGGAGTGTTAAATCTGTAATTGTTTAATTACTCTAAAATAGTGACAACTGGCATGATTGGGTTTGTATCAGGAGAATACGCGGGCTAATCTAAAATAACCCTAGTAGTGTATTATTTGGTTAGAATATGGCTCCTCTAATACGTAAGGCAATTGGGGAATTAAATCTTACGGGCGTAATATAATCCTAAAACTAATTGGTGATAGATTACATCAACTTCTTGATATTATGAGTGGAGGATCAGAAAAATTAAATAGAAAGAATACTCAAATGAAGAGAAACTTGAAATCCTAAACAGAATTTTCTTTTCTCCAAAACTTTCGTAAACAACTTAGATCATCTTCATTCTACTTGTATCAACACCCAAGATCGTATCAATCAGATAAAAATGCTCTTGCAACCTTCTCAACCTTTGCACAGTGAAAATCGAAATTGGCCCTCATATCTCTGGGTTAACAAATGCAAAGTAGGGTGCCAAATTCTATCTTAGCCCACTATAGTCAAATCTAATAACGTAATATCCCCGCTGCTCATTCCTCCTCTGTGCTCTTTTCCACCAGAAACCTGAAATATACAAAGTGATCTTGCAACACGTGCGCCTCCACTTCTAACAAGAAATTCATTCTGAGTAAAAAATTGAAATTAATTTACATTTAGTTCATTTGTCAGAACTGTTTCTAGATTAAGGGGGAAAAACTCTAAAAGCTCGTATGATTTCTGTTTGGTTATCCGCAATATTCATGAATCTCATAGGAGATCTTAGCAACCGATTGAGAAAAAATAACAGGTATGAATTAGCAACTTTCCCCAAAGATGTTCGTCAACAACATTGTCAATAACTCTTTTGACACTGGCACAGAGTGAGGATTCTATACAAATATTACTCTATTGCTCATCATAAAGTACTCGTCAAGTAAAAAGACTCGCCTACACCCAAAGTGGACCACTATTCTAGTACTACTACAGCTTTAGTAAATCAAACTTGAAATCTTTTTTGGATACATGCCCTAAAATTCAATTTAAGCATGGAATTTGGGGTAAATTAACAAATAACTGCAATACAGTGAAAACTTAACATAGCAGGTAGAGATAAATGCTATATTCAGCAAAACTAAAAGTTAAAAGCTATAGAAAACAAGCCAACATCGGAAACAGCAGATTATACAACATTTGAACACAAAACCTAATGAAAAGACAGGAGGAAGACAATATACTTTATCAGCAGGAAAAGGATCTCAAATTCAGAAGCTTCAGAAATATCTCTATATAATTCTGCTGTCATTTACCAGATCCCTACCTACAACATGTCCAGACCTTATAAAGGGAAAATGGCATTTGTTCAGAACATATGAAAGGGATCAAATAGTACCTAATTTCTATGTGGTTTAAAAAAACTGACAACAAATCATATAACAGTATTTATCTTTCCACATATTATCTTTGGAATAGTTGAAAAAACAGGGACAGTATTTACCTTTCCACATATCATCTTTGGAATAGTTGAAAAAACAGGGACTTTGTTCATTTGATTTTCTTTTCCGTTTATTGTTCTAGTCCAATGAGATTTAAAAGATAGAAGCTGACAAAGTTCTGCTACAAAAATTTCTATTTTGACAAGAAAAGGAATCCAACTGAAAAAAATGATGGAATAAACTAAACTTCTTAAGTAAGAATAAGGCATGGAAATTAGAAGGCAAATCGAACTCCACACTTTACAACATATTCATAATCACCACTTCACCAAACTGCATGCAACAAGCCATTTTGTTCCATGAACCATCTCATAACCTAAAACTTTCCTGAAACTAAAACCTAAAAGCAAAATTCCAAGCCCTTCTCATACAAAGCATCTCCAAATAGCAACTTTAAATTTGGCATACATACTTTCCATTCAACATACATACTGGATGGTCCAAAGCCTCAACAAGAATATATAAAGCCATTTTCATTGAACACCAATGCTTGAATCAACATAAAGCAATGCAAAAATAACAGTAAATTACAATCATTACTAAGAAAAAAACTCAAAGTGAAAAAAAAATAAAGGGATTGAGGAGCCAGAAAGCATTAACAGATAGTACGTACTATGTTTACATTAGAGGCAGAATGCCACGTTGACGGAATACAACTTAAGAAAAGAACCAGGGGATTAAGATTCATCACCATGCAGAATTATGTAAAAATACCATAAAAACATTACGTCAAAGAAAAACCCTCAAACAATTGGAAACAAAAGGTACAACAGCAATTTAGACAATTTCAATGTCACGAGAGTAGCTACAGAAAAGGGCACAAAACATTATGTGCATCTAGGAAAGACAAAAGAATAGATTGAGTACAGTATTCTTTGGCTACCATCCATTTCCTTTTCTCCTTCCAAAATTACTTGAGATTAACATCATTTGGAAACTTTTACATGAACTCCTTGATAACTAAAAAAAACCCACAAGCAGCAAAAGATAAATCTGAAGAAATCTATAATAATGATGATAATAATAATGATAATGATAATCATAATAATAATGATAATACTAATAATAATAATAATAATAATGATAATAAAAGTAATAGTAATAATAAACAAGTTACAAAGGAAGAAAACATAGCTTTGATAGAGGATTATTTGAAAAGTTTTGCAAGAATAATAGTGTAGCACTAGTTGCGATATGATATTTGTGAGATGAAAAGGTGGTTGGGAAATAAAAAGGTGATTGGAATACTTGTTTATAATGCAATTTTTTTGCAAATAATCATCAATCCAAACATGTCTTCTTTTAAAGAAAAAAGGAATCAGGGAGGGGGAAAGCAAAACAAAAAACAAAAAACAGAAAACGAAAAAGAAAGAAAGAAAAGACAACTTTTCACTGAAGCAAACCCAAATTGGCTAACAAAAGGTTGACAAACAATTTGAGAAAGAAAGAAAAATAGAAAAAATGCACTCTTAAAATAACAAAGATTAAATGAAGTCGAAAAACTAAAGGAACAGGATGGGGGGAAAAACCCAAATATTACCATATGTTGAATAGTAGAAGCTAGGGAAAATGAATGCTCAATATGTGTCCTTACCCAATTTAGCGTCCCAGTAGTTATAGTTCAGAGTTGATAAGCTCTTCAACAGAGTTTGTATACTTGGAAATAAGATCCCTGAAATCAGACAAATCAAAGATGAAGCTGGTAAAAAGAGAGCCAAAGGCAATAAGAACAAATATAAGGTACGTATATATTGATAACTGAATGATGGAGATATCAGAATCTAGGCACCTTCGCTGATTCAATAACTGTTCAGTTTCCTCTAGTTTATGCTTTTGTCCCTCGACTGTCTGTCAATATTGGTACATCCTGGGCTCAGCTTTCCACATAACAAATAAAATCCAAAAGGATGCAAAATCTAAACAGAGTATAAAAATCCCCAGTGGCAGGACTTAAAAGAATGCCAAAATCGTAGAACAACACATTTAAACTCCACTTTTATCTATTTAGTTATCTTGAGGAGGAGGAGGAGGAGGAGGAGGAAGGGGGGTGGTGTTGAGACTCAGTGAGTATGCCAAAATCATAGAACAACACATCTAAACTCCACTTTTATCTATTTAGTTATCTTGAGAGTGTGTGTGTGGGGGGGGGGGGGGGGGGGGGGGGGGGGGGGGAGGGGGGTTGAGACTGAGCAAGTGTGCAAAATAAGTCTTCATGTAGCATTACAACAACAATCTAAAGAATCTGCAGAAAACTTACCATGGATCTGGAGTTGATTGAACCCGAAATTGAGTTTAGCAGCTGTTGACACTTGTCAAATTGGCTGTTCAATTCGGTAACCTTTAGAAGAAGATGGTGAAGAAGAAGAAGAATGTACACAGAAAGCGTCATCATTTATGGTTATAGAATAAAAGAAGGTGGTATTAGTCTGAGGAAATTCATTATATGGATTAATTTTGATAGAATCACTCACTAGTGCATCTGAATGCTGATCTCGAGTTCCATTCTCTATAGCATCTGCTAAGTTTTCCACTAGCTGTAAACATACAAATCAAAAGAAAAGCTTATTAGAAAAAGCGAGGAGAGCTGGGGAACCAACTATTGCTATTTTGCCAAAAGTAAATTCTGGGTTTCTGACAGAAAACCTACGTGTAGAAGATGGAAATGAGATGCAAGTGACTGGTGCTGCTGCTGCTGCTGGGAAAAACAATGTTGCTGCTGCTGTTGTTGCTGCTGATACAGCGGTGGCTGTTGTTGGAGGAAGAGGTGGTGTTGATCCTGAGTGGAGGAGGGAGTAGAAGGGTTGCTGCTGCTGCTGAGAGTCTGGACGTTTGAGATCATTGACCAATTTCCTCCGTAGTGATCCATTGACAATCCTCAGCCCACAGCCCTCAATGTGCTTGCTAAAATGCCTACAAAAGGTGTATATATTATGAGTACTTCCAAGCCGAGAGGGGACCCTGGGCTATTGTGTTGCTGCTGTATTATTATTGACATCAATGCAATTATGACTATAATCTTGGAAGACAATGTTTGTATTTTTCACATTAACACTGAATGCTTTGCCTTCCCTAATACAAACATGTTGTACCCTTCCTAGTTGGAGCCCTGAACAAAAAAAAGATGATTCACAGAAATATTCAACACCATGTACCTCTTAAGTTAATGAAAGATTCCTTTTATCCTCCATCTTCCCCCCCCCCCAACCCAAGCCACCACCCTGCCCCTCTTCCCCAACACTTAGAAATGATGCTACAATTTTCAACAAGAGGCCAAAGATCACATATATTGCCCATATAACAACATTTACCATCATCACATTACAATAACTATATATGTGTAGCAGATTCAATTAAAACTAAGAGTCTGTTTGATAACATAAAAAAGTGCTGAATCTGAATTTTTTCAGACATTCAGATGTTTTGAGTGTTTGATAAATGAAAATCTATTTGCTGAACTTGTTAAGCAGTGCTGAATCTGTGTGTATTTTTTTCAGCACAAGAATCCTAACTGAATGCTTAATTCTGATAAGAATCAATAGAATTACTTCAACTACCTTATCTTATCTACCAAATCTATCCTTGTTTGTTAATTATGTTCAAAATTCTTATCTAATTAAACAACATAATATTCTCTATCTAACGATTTTTAGTTTCTCTTTTCTCCCTTTTTAATGACTTTCATATCTTCTCCATACTCCTAATATAATATATTTCATCTGTTATATTAATTTGATTTAAAAATAAATATTGTCATTTTCATACCTAACAATTTTAAACTAATTAAATCATAGATTCTATTTCTTTTTTGAATGAAAGGATATAAGGGCAAAATTGTCAAATTAAACTTATTAAGCATTCAGCTATAAATATTTATCAAACAGCATAAATAGGTTTAGCATTAAAATTCAGACATTCATATATTTTTTTCAGTGCTTAAAATTCAGCAAATTAATTGTTTCAGTATTCAGATTTCAGAATTCAGACTTCAGAATTCAGATTCAGTTCTATCAAACGGAACCTAAGAATGGTAGCATCATTTCTAGTGTTTACTGAAAAATTAGTCCAAAAATACAAGTGTTTTAACATCAAAATGTAATAAGATCAAAGTCCATCAAATTCCTGCTTGTTAACAATAATAATGGTAAAGCACGTTGGGAGATTCTAAGCACTAACTTAGATCTGAAACTTTTTGATAGAACAATTTGGAGGGATATTTCTACATTACTAGCACAACAATTTGATCCAATTATTTGCCTCATTGTTTTGACTAACTACCAAAACTAGTAAAAGAAACAGAATCCTGGTTGGGATATTAATACTATTACTTGTTAAGGCTTGCAACGAGACAGAATGCTACTGCTGCTGTGCTACCCGCACCCTCCTCCCCCTTCACCACCACCCCGCAACCCCACTCCCTCCCCTTCCCCTCTATCCTCCATCTCCCCCTTCCCCCGCCACCCATCCCTTTTCTCCACCACCTCCCACAGCCCCCTCCCCCTCTACCCTCCCCCCATCTTCTCCCCATTCAGCCCAACCCACCCGCTGCCACCCTCACCTCCCCCCAAACCCCAGGCAGCCCCTCTCCCCAGCTTCTCCCCCTTCAGCACAACCCACCCGCTGCCATCCTCACCTCCCCCAAAACCCCCAGGCAGCCCCTCTCCTTCTCCCCTTTCCCTCCCACACTCAATTCACAAACCCAGAAATTTAAAGAAGCCCACAGACAACCATATTCAAAGACTTGAATTCACGGACCCCGATAATCACAAACTCCACAAAAACTTGAATTGATAGAAACCCAGAAATTTTACCGACAACCATATTATGCATTCTTAACAACAAAATAATTCCACGAAACAACAAAGATTCACACAAAATCCTCCCATTCAAAACTTAAGTTAAAACTTACAACCAAGAAAAACGAAGCCATAAAAAAATAACCAAAAAAAATTCAAGCACTCAAATCAGCATAATCCTGTAATCAACAAAAAAGAAAATAAGAATAAGGAACTTCACACTGCTTTGTGGCCAAGAAATGTAGCGATATAATGGCGGTGACGCTGGTGGCAGATTCTGGCGAAGTTGAAAATCCACTCCTATCCTATTCTCCTCTGTTCCTTTTTCCTGATCGGGATTTGTTCTTGGTTTTCCAAACTGAAATCTTCAATAAAATGTTCTATCAGTTCTTGGAAGCCTTCTCGTCCAGCTGACGAAGGGAAAAAAAATGATGAAAGGGGTTCTGAGTTTAGTTTTTGATATTAAAAAAAATGATGAAAGGGGTTCTGAGTTTAGTTTCTGACATTTGCACTGACCTCCCTTGTGGTTTGAAACATTACACCGACCTCCCCTGAGGTTACTAATCCTTTGCAAATTCAGTCCAAACGATTAAAATATTATTTTAGGGAGTAAAATTAGAATTTTGTACCAAATTTGTCCTTTGTACTACATGTCCAATGAATGACAAAGTATTACAAATCAATTAACAATTAATAAACTTTAAGGAGTATAATTTATAGGCAAATACGCATTACCTATTTAAAATACCGGTTCTTTATGGGTATTTTATTTTCAAACATTTAATTTAATACAAATATTTACGCTCAAATACAGATTTGTATGTACTTTCAAATATTTAATTTTTGTTAAATGCAAAAACTACCAATCTCTCTTCCGTAAAAATATTAACATAACACTTTTTTAATTTTAGTTGCAAACATTTATGTATTTAACATAAATTAAATGATTCAGAATAAAATGCCCATAAAGAGCCAATACTTTACTCATGTAATGGATGAAATCCATAAAGAATTAATACTTTATGGACCATTTCTTCTTTTTAAAAAAAATATTTAATTTATATTAAATAAATAATCTACCGATTTCCTTTTTGCAAAAATATTACTGTAATACGTTTAGAATTTTACTTACAAACATTGATATATTTATCATAAATTAAATGTTTGAAAGTAAAATACCTGTAAAGAACCAGTACTTTAAATGAGTAATGCGTGTTTGCCCATAAAGAACCGGTAACTATTTAAAGTACCGATTTTTTACGGGAATTTTACTTTAAAATATTTAATTTAATACAAATATTTACGCTCAAATACAGATTTGTATTTACTTTCAAATATTTAATTTTTTTTAAATACAAAATTTACCAATCTCTCTTCCGTAAAAATAATAATATAACACTTTTTCAATTTTAGTTACAAACATTTATGTATTTAATATAAATTAAATGATTCAGAATAAAATGCACATAAAGAGCGAATACTTTACTCATGTAATGGATGAAAGTCATAAAAAATTAATACTTTATGGGCCATTTTTTTTTAAAATATTTAATTTATATTAAATAAATAACCTACCGATTTCCTTTTTACAAGAATATTACTGTAACACTTTTTGAATTTTATTTACAAACATTGATATATTTATCATAAATCAAATGTTTGAAAGCAAAATATCCGTAGAGAGCCAGTACTTTAAATGAGTAATGCATGTTTGCCCATAAATTATACTCCTTAAAGTTTATTAATTGTTAATTGATTTATAGTACTTTGTCATTCATTGGACATGTAGCACAAAGGGCAAATCTGGTACAAAATTCTAATTTCACTCTCTAAAATAATATTTTAATAGTTGGACTAAATTTGCAAAAGATTAGCAACCTTAGGGGAGGTCAGTGTAATTTTTCAAACTACAGGAGAAATCAGTGCAAATATCAGAAACCTCAGGGGAGGTATCTGCAATTATCCCTTTTTGATATTAAATTGCGCAAAAACTAAAAGAGTTGAAGGTGCTGAAATTAAAGGATAATATCAGAAACCTCCCCTGAGGTTTCAAATAATTTCACTAGCCTCCCTAAATTTTGTAAATTGCAGAAACCTCCCTTAGGTTAAGATTTTGATAACAAAATTAGTCTTAATAAGAAAAAGTAACATTAAAAAAGTACTTTAAAGGGAGAGATGAAAGTTTTATTTCACAAATATTCCTTATGTATGTATATAAGTTGTATTAGTAAAAAAATAAAAATAAATAAATATTAGAATTAATTAATTACATACATACATTTTACTAGTCAAAAAGTTCACATTTAATACATTAGACAATGCTAATAAATAACAAAACTACATTAATCATCACAAGATTCAGCAAAACAAATTAATCATCTTTTTTAACATGAGATTTAATATGATTCTTGTGATTGTTAACATCAAAAGAATTTCAAATTTTGCCTTTCTTTTCCCTCTTTTCTCCTTTACTTCCATGAAATTACTTTACAACTACCACAATTTTAAGAGTTTTAAACAAAATCTCCTCATGAACAACCTTCTTTTTGCCCTCTGTTTTTTTCTTCTACCAAAACCCTTCTTCTCTCATTGTGTACAACTGATTTCTAATCATTGTTAAGTTTTATCAATCACCAAATAGCGTCATTTGGTACATCAATTGGCATTATTTCATATTTGCAAGTCACTGTTCATTATTAAAAAAATTTCCAACAATTATTTCTATTAATGAATTACTAATAATTAATTAGTACACTAATTACTCAATCATTAGATATTAGTTTCTAATAAGACATAATATCTTAGAGTATATGAGTAATTTCTCCCCATGTGATGTAAGTAACTGGATCCACAATTTTACTAAGGAAAGTAAGTATAACTTTACAAACCTCAAGGGATGCAAGCAAAATTGTCAAAAACCTGAGGAGAGGTTTCTAAAATTATCCCGAGATTAAAAGTTTGAAGTACATTTCTTGTTTAATGAGGCTACATCCTGCAATTAGGCAATCAACTGTTTCCAAAAGAACATTTGGGGGGGTAAATAATATTTGGTACCCCTAAATTTTAAAAATCTCGCCTACCTCCCTTATTTTTAACTTTTTATAACTTTATCAACCCATTTTAAAAGATATGATTTAAAAATTCATTTTGGGATAGATAAAACATTTCTATTCCAAAATTACCCTTTTTTCGTGGACCTTTAGTTTTCATAACAAACCAAATTAAATCCTTAAGGATTACAACATATTAATGATGGTGAAAGATCTTTTATAATTTTTGAAATCATCAGTCCAAACAAAAAAATGTAAAAGAAAAATTTGTTATAATTAGGGAAAATAACATTTTGTGCTTTGAAAATACCTCAAATAAGTTTCTAACTATATTGTTAATAATTTTTCTTTCTCTTGT